TATATATATATATATATATATATATATATATATATATATATTGGATAAATTTAACCTTTAATAATAAAGAAGAGAGAGGAGTACAAAAGGGCTTGGCGATCCACAAAGGAGGACTCTCAAGAGAAAACAGAATAAAAAGGTAGGACCGAGTCCTTTTTAAGAAGGTTACAAAAGGGTAGCAACCAAATAAAATAGGTCGATCCGAAGGTCAAAAAATAGAAACAGTCCAAAAAACCAAAAGCCCAAAAAATCGTCAGTTGTCTGCCATCGTTGCTGCTTCTTTGGCAAGCAAATCAACTTCCTGGTTTCCTTCCCTCCATGTATGCATCAACACGACGAACATATTCTTGCAAAGGTGATCGATCTCGTTAAACAATTGTGCCAGGAACCAGGGGGGGGGGGGGGGGGAGAGCAAGAAAGTCTCTGAGCCCAAGAAATGGTATTCTTGGAAAAAAGTCTCTAAGCCCAAGAAATGGTATTCTTGGAGTCACCTTCCACCGCTAGAGAATGTAGGTGGAAGGGTTGTATGAGCTTAAGGCCTTTCGACAACGCTAGGGCTTCGGCTTCAATAGAGTTGGTGTGGCCGATATGTTTGGAAACGGTGGCCAGTGTAGAGGCGAAGTGGTCTCTAAGAATGGCTCCTACTCTAGACGGGCAGGGTTCTCGATAGAGCAGCTATCGAAATTCAGTTTGAGCTGTCCCACTGGTGGGGTACTTCCCCATGGTAGTCTTGGTCAAATGCAGTTGATGGACTTGGAGGACGTTGCTCCATTCGTGGCTAAACGCCGAGGCTGGAATCCCTTTGAAATAGCGGTGGTTGGTTGCCCAGAGGATAATGGTGGACTTGAGCTTGTAAAAAACTTTGTTCCAAGGGGAGTACTCTCCCCGGAACGTTATGTTGTTGCGCTCGATCCATAGGGCCCATAAAGAAGCTGCCACTGAGGATTTCCAGAGTAGTATCCCTGCCTTAGGCCTAGGATAAGGTTTGATGGCCGAAAGAATGGATGTTTCCTCTGTCGGTAACAATGGGACATTGTAGCAGTAGGTGATTGTTTGTATCCTCAGCTGCTTGGCACATGACACATCGATTAGGGATAGGGATACCCCTTCTCTGCAATTGATATATAGTTAGCACTCTCTGAGAGAGAGCTAGCCACATGAAGATCTGGATTTTGGGTGGGGCGAAGGAGTTCTAGGCTTGAGCAACTTTAGCCGTAGGTGTTAAAGGAAAAGTTGGAGGCAGAGAAAGGCTTCGAAAGAAAGAGGATACCGTGAAGAGGCCAGAGGGTGCTGGTGCCCAAATGATACGATTGGGACCTGTGGTTGATAAGAAGCAGGCATGAAGTTGTGTTGCTAAATTTGTGAAACTCTCTATCTTAGGTTCGTTAAGAGCTCTCCTGAATACTGGGTTCCACGAGCGAGAAGACCTTGCCAAGAGCATTTCATCCGCTATGGTGGCCCCTTGATCTCGAGCCAGAGAATAGAGGTCAGGGAACCTATCCTTGAGAGGACTGTGGCCTGACCACCAATCTTGCCAGGAGAGGATACGGTTTACCGATCTCAGATGGAATCTGATTCGGTATTTGAAAGCGTGGAAAGCTGAACAGATTGACCACCAAATACCAGAGGATCTATGGTTGGTCCTACAGTTAGGTAGCCACGGTGTATTGGAGAGATGGTATTTGTGCTTGAGTATATCTTTCCACAGCTGATTCCTAAGGTTCGTTATGCGCGAGCACCACTTACCGAGGAGGGCCACATTATGAGTTCTAAGGTTCTTGATCCCTAGCCCTCCCCTTTGCCTAGATTGGCAAAGTTTGGCCCAAGCAAGTGAAATTTGTTGTTGGCTCTGTCTCTAGACTAGAAAAATCTTCTCATTAACTGTTTGATTCTGGAGCTGACTGCCACATGCATGCGAAAGATGGACATTTGGTAGACCGGTATGTTAGCCAGAGTAGCTTTAATCAGAGTTAACCTTCCTTCCAAAGAGAGAAAGCAACCTTTCCATCCTGCGAGTCTATGGTCCACTTTGTCTATGATGTGAGATCACAATCTCAAATTTGGTTTGCCTAAGCAGAGTGGCAGTCCTAGGTATTTAGATGGCAGGGCTTCAGCCTCACAAACCCCATCTCTCAGCAAAATTGGATAGGGTAGTTGAATCAACAACATTAACCCCCATCATCTTGATTTTGTCAAAGTTGACTTTGAAGCCAGTTGCGAATTCGAAGCACCTGAGAAACAGGAAGAGATTGTGTGTTTCTTCTGTTGTGGTGTTGCAGAATACCAATGTATCATCTGCGTACTGGAGGTGAGAAACCGTGGGGGCCCGGTTTCCCACCATGAAACCATGCAAGCGTCCAACCATCAACATCCTGCAGATTGACCGCTGAAGACCTCAGCCGCAATGCAAATAGGAAGGGATATAGGGGATCTCCCTGACTGGAGCCTCTGGTAGAAGGGAAATATCCTTTGGGGGTTACCATTTATGAGGATAGAGAAGTGGGGATGTGAGTAACTCGCCCTCATCTACGCTGTCCATTTTGTATCGATACCCATCCTGGACTCAGTTTCTTCAAGGATGTCCCAGTCTATGTGGTCGTAGGCCTTCTCCCAGTCCAACTTAACCATGATACTAGGGGCTTTGGCCAGATGTCTGAAATGAATACATTCATGGGCCACAAGTGCCCCATCCAAGATTTGACGGTCTTTAGTAAAAGCACTTTGGGAAGTAGAAATGACTAAAGGGAGAACCTCTTTTAGGTGATAGGTGAGGACTTTGGCAAGGATTTTGTAAGTGGAATTCACCAAACTTATAGGAAGGAAATCTTTCAGTTGGGTTGCCCCTTCAATCTTGGGTATAAGTGTAATGAAAATGGCATTCTGGGCCCCATTGATGATACCTTGTGAGAAGAATTCATCAAACAGTTTGAGAAAGTCTTTTCTCAAAGATCCCCAAAACAATTTGAAAGGTGCAATTGGGTAGCCATTGGGTCCAGGGGTCCTGTCAGAGTCGAGGTCAGAAATGGCAGCTAAGATTTCAGGTTTTGAGAATGGTCTCTAACCAAATCTGGAGGTAGAACAAGAAACTCGATGTCCCCCATGGGGGGCCGAGAAATAGGGGGGACAGAGAAGAGATTTTGGAAATAGCCAAGGATGGCTTGCTCAATATCGGGGGGTTAGTCCAGAAGGTTTTCACCTACCTAAGGTGTGCGATGGTGTTGTCTCTGCACCTGCAATTGGCAGTCTTATGAAAAAAGCCCGTGTTGAGATCCCCGGCCATTAACCACTTAATCCTGGATCTCTGATATCAGAAGATTTCCTCTTTTTTAGGATCGCTTGGTATTGGAGCTTAAGTTCATCTCTGTGAGTGAATTCCAGGCTCGTTAGGGGTCTGGATTCTTCTAACGAGTCTAGGGTTTTGATGGCTTGCAGTGTAGAAGTTTTTTGTGGCCCTAAATACCCTGGTAGGCCCTTACTCCAAGATTTTAGGTGAGTCTTCAATAATTGCAACTTGCGTTGAAGTTTGAAGCCTGCCCAACCATCAACCATGTTGGAGAGAGATGTCCGCCATACCGGAAATAGGTTGAGAAGGGACGGTTCTTCTAACCATGCCAACTCGAACTTGGAAGGTTTAGGTCTAGTCTTGGTCGGCTTGGAGTCTAGAAGCATGGGACAATGGTCGGAAGTGGGTTTAGGGAGAGCCAAAGAGTGAGTCCCAGGAAAGGTAGAGTCCCAGTCTATATAGATCAGGAAGCAGTCAAGCTTAGAGAGGGTAGGGTTGGAGGAGTGGTTAGAGCAGGTGAACTGAGCTCCTAGACAGGGAAGGTCAAGCAGGTTGTTCAGGGCAATGAAGTCGGAGAAGGTTGTTCAGGGCAATGAAGTCGGAGAAGGTTGTCATTACCAGATAGGGATGGGACCACCTTGTTACCTTGAAGTTCCCACCTATACACCAGATAGGGTGGGGCAAATTGGCAACCTGGTTGAGTTCTTCCCACAGAAGAGGTCTGTCGGCATCCGAATTGGGCCCGTAGACCGCAGAAAATTTCCAAGGCAAACCATCAGGTATCCTAGAGAGTAGGATGGTCACATAGTATCTAGAGACGAGGTGAGACTGCAGGGAGTGTGCTGTGGGGTCCCAAATAACCAATATTCTCCTTAGGCCCCTTCTACTGGGAATGCGATCCATTGGCAAGGTCTGTGTCCC